ATTCCCCCCCCCCCCCTCGAAAAAAAAAGTTGGGAATACACACTTTGATGATTCAAAATCCGATTTCCGTTTCTAACTTGGGCGCGACGTTCTCGAGCATACTTATAGATAGAAATATGTCCAAATACTACACACCTTATGCCAAGGCCTTGGAAGTGTGCAGATAGGGGCTTACCGTATGAAGGGGGAAAGGTTTACGCGTATTATTATACATGTAATTCATCTTTAAAAATTGCAGTATATCGATAAGTTTAAAGCGCTCTATTCTAAATCTATTTTTGGCTCCTTGCACCTATGTAAATCGCGTATTAATGCATGGAGTATTTCTTATCCGTGTTTAACTGTAATGAAGGGGGTAGGGCACAATCGATTTCGCCACCCTCTCACAACACACAAAGTGCTATATTTAGCTGAAAGCTCTATCTGCTGAGGATGGCATATGCTCAATCTAATTATCATAATTTCGAAGTAGGCTGTGATTTGTCCGTGTATGTAGATGTAGTCTTGATTGAATTAATTACAATACCGTAGAAGCGTGTGAGGGAGTTTTTTTTTCTCGCTCGGTCGCTACTCTCACTCGCCTTGTAATAAACGTTCTTTATAGTAATAAGATCATAAGTTCTGTAGAGAAAGTGTACTATTAGGAATGAACTGTTCTATATATATGAAAAGTATAGAGATTCGTATTATCTTCTTTGTTTGTGCGTTTTAAAAATTGCTCAAGAAAAGTGTGATTTAAAACCCATTGAGTATTCTTGGCAGTCCTCCTTTTCTTCATTCAACCTTTACCCTACCCTTCTACCTTACCATGCCTAATTAGTGATGAACACATCAATGGATGTACAAATAAGACGACAGCGTATCTTTTTTTTAAACGAAAATATACAAACATTGCTGTTTGAAAATATTATGATTTCAGCAAGCAAATACTAGTCTCTCTCTCTCTCTCTTCTCTCTCTATATCTCCTAACAACTTTGTAATGGGGATAATATCATAAAAATGAACTTGCTAATGAACATGCTAATTAACATGTTCCTTATCATGTTCATTTTTGTTGTTTTATCAGCATTTGTGTAGAACCTTATTTCTATTGTGCCATACTCTCTTTTTGCTCGTTCCCATGCAATTTCATAATATTTCGATAGGTAAACACGATATAACGAACTTCGAAAAGAGAATTCGAAAAAGGGCCCTGCAATTCTATTCTTATAATAGTATCATATAGTTATTCAATTGCATTGCGTTCTGAACTGCCGCATTGTCGGCTCTAACAGTGAGTTCCAATAATTTGTTGGACAGGAGCTTGATGGTGATTTATTTCCCTCTTTCGTTAATGTGTAATGCATTTATCGATAGTCATATAACTAACTAAAATGTGTCTCAATAAAACATGAACAAATCTAACAACTCATGTAGTTTTGAGGCTAATAGCTGCATCTTCTTACAGGGACCAAGATCTTGGAAAAATATAGATTTTGTATGAGGTCATGTGACATTCGACTACCTCGAGTCATCCAGAAACGGTGCATGCTACTGCTAATGAAAAATGAATTGACTAATAATTAATTTCTTTGTAAAAACTTGTTTTAAAAGACGAAGCTGATAACAAGTGTGGTATCTAGATATTTTAAAATTGCTCCCCCCCCCCCCCCTCCGCCCAAACTTCACGTTACTATATAAGCGAGTAAACAAAGAGATTGAACGGTATATTGTTTCATGAATTGTAACCCTAAACAAAAAACACAATTTCTTATGCATTTTACCCATAGAAATATCCCAAGGCACCACCTACTGATGTCAAAGACGTATAAGTATTGCCATTGGGGGATGAGTCCATTATGTGTATACATTTTGCGAGTGATTGACTCATGGAACCTCCAATTTGGCGCTATTTCATTATTTGAACAAAATCGTAAATAATGATGAGGTGATGATTGCCCGAAAAATGGAAAGTCGAAATACCCTGCAATCGGACAGAAGACTTTCGAGTTTTGAATTACACTCTCAAAGCGACCATGATTTTGAAAATGATTGTGTTTTAAAACTTTAAAAAGTCGTTTTCCCATGCACCATTTACTTTGTATTCTGGTGCCGATTCTCATTCCGGGAAATGTTTGTTCTACTTTTCTTCCTCTTCTCTTTCTTACCTTTGTACCTCCCTGCATCTTCTGCCTTTCCCGTATATACACCATTGTTGATAAATGATTAAAACAAAAGTGAGTTCATTTCCTTTCGTTCTTTTTTTCTTTCCTTCAGAATGCCACATGTTGTGAAACTTTAAATAACTTCGTCGTTCTAAAAAAAATTATCTTCGAGATTCCCGAAAATTACCTGCTTTTCTGGACCAGTTTAGAGTACCTATATATAGGTACTCTAGACCAGTTCTCGTGATAGCGCCATCACTCGGCCTAATGCGTATAGTCGGCGAATAAAACAATCAATAAAAAAGGTTCCAGAACTCGACTAAGCGTAAATTGGTGTGGGGTCTAAGAGGTGGAGCCCCTGGAAGCTCAGGAATTTTAGGCATTTAATTACGATTAGATGAGCATATTTTGATATTTTTGTGTGACGCTATTCTACGATGAAGGTGTCTAATTTCCTGTACCAATTAGGCTTTTACGGAACAGATTTCATGAATCCGAAAACTCCCGAATTTGGAAGCTTTGCCAACATGCTTGACGATGCCCTTCGTGTTTGTACTTCTCATATTTGCTATTCTTTTGCTTTTTTTGCTGAATTATGTTTGCTAAATCGCGCTTTATTTGCAAGGTGCCCACCCAATAAAAATAACTAGCAATAAAGATGTTCTTGAAGTTATTGTTTAATATCGTTTTGTGTATGAAGAAATAAGAGGACCTAGTGACTGAGTTTTCTGTTAATTTTAATTATCACAATCCTTGTTTCAGTCCTAATTGATTAATTCTTAATATTTATCGTTTGTTATTATTAATATGCGCGTTTATGGAATTTTGATCAAAGCGCTAAAACATGTGTCTTCTATTTTCGTGAATGTTTTTTTTTCTTCAAATTTGCAATGACAAATGATGTGATTTGGTTTCAGTTAAAATATATACGGCTCATGTGAATAATGGAGAGCGAAAAAAAAATACTCACTGAACTAACAGCACCATACATCCAGCTTTCCCAGCAAGGTCTTGTACCTCTTTTCCAAATTTACCTGGTAAGATGACAAGAGAAAACGTGTTTGATACATTGTGCATGATGAACTTTTGAATACTATGAACATGATATATAGCCTACATGCAGAAGGAGAGAGAGAACAAAGTAGACAAGTTTGTGTAGTTCCATAAGTTGCATCCAATATTTCAGAATAAACTAAATAAACACGCATGGATGAATTGTTTGTGCAATAAAATTTAAGGAAACCACACAAAATAATATTATGTGATAGCGAAAAAAGTGAACATGATACTTTTAATGTAGAGAATCTTACCTGGGTTTGTCTTGAAATCATACTAAGAAGGGGCAACCAAAATTGTGATAAATATATGTGTATAAATTATGTAGGCCTATAAGTATAATGCCATGCAAGAATTTTGTAAGAATTGCAGTGGTCAGTAATGGTACAATTCCAAAACCAGAAATAGAAACACCCATAACGACATCAAAACAAATTAGGATGTTTGAAAAGCCCAATACATCACTTTCTTTAATGAAATTTGGGCATCTATATATCAACACTGTTTGAGCTATATGATATTGAAAATGTATTTGAGTAATTGCTTTTTATGCCCCCTTATTTGTACTCCATACGATTTTGAGAGAGAAAAGGCTTAGCTATATACTTATTCGCAGTTCCTTGTTAATAATCCCAATGTGGTGATCTGACGACTGACAATGTTGGAAAACCTGTTTCCAGAATTTACGATTACACGTGTAAGCCCATGCATAATACCCTCCTGGTAGTCTCCAAACTAACTACGTCAGGCAGGTCAGGTATATATATAGTAACAGTGAAACATACACATCATCTTGTTTCAAATAGCTGACATGTGAAATTAATCAACGGCTTACACATATTCGTTTGTTTACTGCGCTCCTTGTGTTTAATTTGTGCCATGTAATACGAATTCGAAGAGTTTTTTTTGTTTACTGTTAAACCGATGACTTTATAAGAGAACGCAAGTGTTCACATAATTATCCCTGGCTTTCAGAAGATAGATGTTGGATGATGTCAATAGTTCATGGGTTACCGAGGCGTATGTCATGGTTTATACCTTCAATGTACAAACAATTAAAATGCTCAAGACAACACTAATTTATCAAACATAATTTAACATTCAAAGCGACTGAGTATATTTATTACATTGTTAGATAACGTTTGATCGTGATAAGTTAGTGTAATCTACCAAAGTGAATGTAATTTTAAGCACAGTTTGGATGGTCTCGCAGTTTTACCTCACAGCCATTTTGTAACATGATATTTTAAAATTTACAAATACGCAAGTTTCGTCTGATTTCCTTTATTTTAGGCAATTGAGCATACTATGCGTTCAGAGAGCGAATGATGGAAACACCAAAAAGGAAATTAAATCAATTGTTTGTTTTATCCGGCATATCTAGAATGTTTTGAATTTCTACACAATGCTGGTTTAGTGAGGTACACAGAGCATTGAGTTGTTTTAGTAGTACCAGAATTTGATGATAAGATTCCTCCTTTTACCCAAAAACATAACACTGACTGTATGATTATAGGATAAGGAAAAACAACATGCCATAGTTTGCATCTTCGAGGTGCAGTTTCATTCGAAGTGTTTTTAACAAACAAACACAAGTGAATCAACATTGCATTTTTCAATGTACAAACCCGTCATGAATGTTTTCGTGATGACAGATATAGAATCGGTCAGATATCCCTCCTGATCCTCGGTAGATGTTTGTCGTTTATCAGCATGCTTGCTCGGCTTTACGTCTCCATGAAGAGCGCGTCTCAGAGCAGGGACTATGTGGGACGGATACCCGCACGTATCAATCATACCAACGACAAGCTTATCAGGAAACACCACTCGTTCATCATCACAAGGTACAGCCTTGCCTGGTGTGTACGACAAGATTTCATGTCGTAATGTAGCGATCCTTGTCTTCAAATCCGCGTTTGAAGAAGCCATTTTGAATGACTACCTGCCTACGTATGAATAAGTGCAACCTAATGCAGTGAATTTAATCAGTATATTCTCGCAGGGCAAATGTTCACTGTTCAAGATATTGTTTTTATAGACTCCAGTGATAAGAGATTCCAAAGGACATCAACTAGTAATCAATCTATGAAATTAGATTACATTACAATTAGTAATGTAGTTGTATTTGTTTTTATCGGAGCGAGCTACCTTAGAAAGGATATGATCAATAGACCATGCTTTTGTACGTTCAGTGTTTCCGGAGTCATTGCTACATGTGCATAAAAACCCTTGTCGATCTTATAATTTAATATACGATTCGTTCCGTTTTCCCATGTGCATCAATTGAGTCGTGATCACCGAGCTGCCCTTTCACAAGCCCCCTTCCCACATATATTGTTTAATGTGTTAAAGCATCAGAGTGAAAACCACACAAACATAATACGTTTAAGGTGATAGGCCGAAACAAATAGCTGATTATATAAATGAATATTGAATTTAATTAAAATCGTTTATTAATAACATTTCATCGGGGCTAAAGGCCGAATTGCGTTTACAAAAATACAAAATACAAAATATATACAATCATAACAAATAGGTACAGACACAATAAAAAAACAAAAAAAAAAAAACAAATGCGACTGCGTCTCCTTTATGACTCTACCCTAAATTCAGTTTAGGAAATGGATGGATATTCGTGACATATCACAATGAAAACAAAAAGGCTATTTCATATTTATTCTAATTTCCAGTGGGCCACATTCCCAGTTTTTTCAATGCCCATTTCGTCTACAATCCATATAGTTTAATACTCATTTCATCATACATAATAACAATCGTCAAACAATTATTAGACCTTATGTATAATAGACGAAATTGGCATTATACATACTGGGAATTAGACTGACTGGTTAGTAGTATAAATAAACAATAGACCAAATGGCTACTAGCCTTAGTGGTCATTAGACCAAATGATAAGTAGGTGAAACGATTATTAGACTATAAGGATAGTAGAAGGACTGGATGTAGACCATATGGGATTAAACTTATTGGGTAGTATACGAATTGATTACAGACCAATTGGCAACAAACCGATATATACCCCGTAACACAGCTAACATAATAGAAGGGAACCATACTACAAGCATTTCTCCAGTACTCTTACTTCAATTTCAGAACAAAGTCGAAATTGCCTTTCCGTTTATTTTTTTGCGATTTATTCCGATGAGTGAAGATGAAAACCTTTGGTATGTCTGTTTTCGTTGCTATTTTTTGATTTTGTAGGACCAATCATCTCTTCAGTTACCTCACTTTCACTTTTGAATCAGACTAACGTTATGGTTACGTTACTAATGGCCTTTGGATTTGTCAACATTATTGCACGGTTTGAATGTGCATTATGTTTACCTGATTTCAATGTGCGTTCATGGAGAATGAATTGAACTGAGTGTATTGTTTGTCAAATCTCAATATTTGTGGCATGATCGTCAGATATTAATATGAAAGTTAGCTTCTGCATCCTGAAAAGCCAATTACCTCCACAAATTGAAACTTTTTCAAATTGAAAAGGGTTGCAATTTCCGCTGCAAACAATTTTGAGTATTGCTACAAGTTAGTGTTGCGTCAATTGCGGTTATTTTGTTTCATAAATCAGTTAAGATATGCTAAATTTGCTATTAATACAAACTGATAAGATCCCATTTAGCTGGTAGGCTCGTCAGGAGATATGCGAGGCGTATTTTCTAATTTCTTGAGCGCAAATAAACCATAGAATACTATAGTGTGATATTAAAGGTAAAGACCAGTATTGGAAACGCCCCAATTTCAAAAAATGAAATGGAGGCTCTCATTACCAATCATGTGAAAGAATATGTTTTGACTAATACATGATGATAACAAATTTGCCGTGAAACCGCCTACTAATTCATATATTTGGTAAATTTGTTTCTCTCATGGTCTGTGAGAGATATAGGGTAGTCCCATATACATCTTTCTGTGTATAGTGATTGTAACTTCACGAAGAATGGGCTAAATTTATTATCATTTTGATGATTCCAGAACCTTGCAGATGCTAGATGCTAGATGATCAACCTTTTCTGATCGATTCCACAACGTTTCTTTCACAATGCAATCGCATGACCATAACTGGTCTTTACCTTTAAACAATAATTTAGTTTTCACGTTTTCATTCCTACGTATCATACTTGTGGTGCAAGTGAATATTACCCTTCCAAATAATTCGGAATCACTCCTTATCTAATATTTCACACGCATAAATCGTAAGCATTCTTTATTCATTTAAATTGTCCTCTTTTAAGAGACTCGATCAGACATGCTAATAATGACAACTGGGTCAAACGGTTTCATTGTGGGTCCCTAACCACCAGACTCTGATGATTATGACGATGATGATGATGGTGATGAAAGTCATTTTCATATATATCGTCTCATGTTTTCTCTATGAGCCTTTTGCAGGGAGTGGAGATGGTGCACATATTACAATGTGTAATCTATCCTTGCGCGTGGAGGGGCGTGGTCTAGTGGATTCGTCACCAGACTATTGATCCCATTTCCGCGGCACTTTCTACATTATTTTGTTACAATCGACCCAGGTGAAGTACCTGAAATGAATTCTGGAGTCGGGGTAATAATTTTGGAGCGCCAATAGAGTCACGTCTGACATACATGAGTGCTATACAAGAACCAATTATTGTTAAAGCTATTAGTAGTTTTATCATTATCGTTAATACTCTTGTGATTATTATTGTTATTGGGACTTTTATATTCGCACGAAGACAATGGGATTGCTACGGTCGACGTCCTTTTAATGCACTGTCTTGAATGGACGTCACACGTATCAGTCCACGCAAATCTAAAAGTCCCTATTATTATAAATACTGCTACTAGAACCACTATAACTATTATCATTATTGTCTCCTTATTTAACACCATTGAAAATGCAAGCATGATGTGCTACTTCATGACCGCTGCATGGTATAGTTTGTTTGCTATTTCAACATGCCAGTCGAGTAACCGTGGTTAAGTGGTCCGTACTGTGTCTCTTGATACAGCATCACTACGTCTGTTTGAAGCCAGAAGGGTGTTATATCATTCTGTTTTAACACAGATTTAACGTCCTTCTGGCTCCTAACACTCGAGTATGGGTTAAATGAGGTGCTGCGAGTAAGGATCATACGCACGTCATATCCAAATTAAAGTACATTACATAACAAAACTAAAATAACTTTTAAGCATAAAGCGGATATGCCTCTTGACGCAGAGAATATTCAATAAATATAATTGACGAAACTGTATATAACGTTATAATTATATTTCTGCATGAGTATTTTTCATTTAAAGCAATGTTTGTTTTTTAATATATTATCAATATTGAGTCCAGGATGTCTAATATATGAAGTGTTTGTTTGTTCTGTCATGATTGAATAACGACTTGCTCTTATTATCCCTATAGGTAGATAGGAACATAATCTAAAATCATATCCAGGCGCGGTTCCAGGGGGGGGGGGGGGGGCGAGCGTGCCTTGCTTAACTGCCAGTGTCAAAAAATAATGAGGCATCAAAATATGCTCATCTGACCGTGATTAAATGCCTAAAGCCCCCAAGCTCTGATGGCCCCTGGATTCCACCTAGGGCCCTAAGACGGGCTCTTAGATGCTCATCTGACGGTAATTTAATGTCTAAAACTCCTGAGCCTCCGGGGGTTCTACCGCCTCGACCCCATCAGGGGCCCTAAGGTGGGCCCCTGAATGCTTATCTGACCGTAATTTATAGCCCCTGAGCTTCTGGGGTCGGACAAGATATCAAAATGTGTTTATCTGACCGCAGGCGCGAAGCCAAGGGGGGGGGGGGGGGCTGTGGGGGCGGTCCCCGAAAATCGCCGTCAAAATAAAAAAGAGAGGAGAGAAAAGAAAGAGGGCGTAGGAATAAAAAGGAGCAGACAAAGAACATCTTTGAAATTCAGACAAGGATTAAGAGTAGAGGACGGTACAACGCATCGTCTTCTTTCTCTAATGATTTATTAAAACGTCTAAGCTTCCGCGCTTCGCGCAGGAGGGGGGGGGGGGACTGAATTCAGACAAGGATTAAGACTCAAGAACGGTACAGCGAATCGTCTTCTTTCTCTCACAATCTCATGAAACGTCCAAAATTCCGCGCTTTGCGCGGTAGGGGAAAAACTGAATTCAGACGAGGATTATTATCGAGAACAGTATAACGGATCGTCTTCTTTCTCTAATGATTTTAATAAAACCTAAAAGCTTCCGCGCTTCACGCAGGAGGGGAGGGGGAGGGGGACTGAATTCAGACGAGAATCATTTTCGAGAACGGTACAACGAATCGTCTTCTTTCTCTAATGATTTAAATGAAACTTAAAGCTTCCGCGCTTCGCGCGGGAGGGGGGGGGGGGGGGAACGAATTTAGACAAGGATTAAGAGTAGAGAACAGTACAACGCATCGTCTTCTTTCTCTAATGATTTAATAAAACGTCAAAGCTTCCGCGCTTCGTGCAGGAGGGGAGGGGGGGGGGGGACTGAATTCAGACAAGGATTAAGACTCGAGAACGGTACAGCGAATCGTCTTCTTTCTCTCACAATCTTATGAAACGTCCAAAATTCCGCGTCAAGAGGGAGGGGGAACTCGCCCCTCCCTGCACCCACCCCCTCCCCGCATTACGTCACTGCTGGTCAATATTACGTACCAATATTTGGCTCGCATAATTTCAAATTTGGCCCCCCCCCTAAGAAATCCTGGATCTGCGCCTGATCATATCTCGAGTAACTAGTCAAACTCTTGAGCGTACGTAAGAGAGAGAGAGAGAGAGAGAGAGAGAGAGAGAGAGAGTGGGGGAGGGAGGTTGGAGGGGGTGTCTGTATGATGTATGTATTACGCAATTGTTGATTAGTTTCGACTTCAGGTACGACAACGATGTATACCTTTTGAATTTTGTCTTAGTATGACGGTACCATTTCAGA